AACTGTATGCAAATTGAAAATTATATTTAAAAATACTGTAAAAACAATATAATTACAGTGTTTATGAAAATAAATATATACATATACATGAACATTTTAACAATCCACAAACTTGAATTAATGGACTATTCATTTTCACCAAGTACATGATTATGAATAAAACACAAAGTGCAGCACCATCTTGGGCCACTAGATGTCATGCTCACCCTCAATGTGGTAAAACAACAACAAAAAAACCCGCAACAAGAAAAGAAACAGGAAAAGACAAAATACAAATCACAATAAATGCCATAAAACTGCATGGTTTTCAAACTATCTAACCCTTCTGGAGCAAAAATAAAATAAAAAAATCATAGTAAAAATCCTACACAGCTTTCACATGCATTAGACTAAACTAACCCATCAGGATTAGCATAGAAAGTGACACTTTTTTTTTAAGATGAGCCAAATGAGATTTCAAAATTACAGTCACATGCAGTGTGCTTAAAATAAACTGCCTTTAGGATATGTATATTGAACCTATTTAATATTTAGGCCCCGTTCACACTGAGCGATTTATCGCGCGGTAATTCCCGCGATATCGCGGCTATTTACCGCGCGATATCGCTCTCCAATGCTTGGCAATGGGGCAAAGGGTCCTGCTGTCGCGGGTTGTGTGTCGCTACAGCAGGACCCTTTTTGGAGCGGATTTTGCCGCGATTCAATGCTTTTCAATGCAAGCATTTGCGCGATATCGCACGACATCGCTCAAAATGCAAATCGCACAACAAATGCGCGATTTGCGAATCGCCAAGTGTGAATGGGGCCTAAATGTTTCTTTCTCTCTTACAAATTCTGAAAAGTAACTTGGGATCACCATTATAATGGGAAATTGAATTTGGGAAGGATCACTATTATAATGGGAAATTACATTTGGGAAGGATCACTATAATAATGGGAAATTAAATTTGGGAAGGATCACTATTATAATGGGAAATTAAATTTGGGAAGGATCACTATTATAATTGGAAAGTAAATTTGGGAAGGATCACTATTATAATGGGAAATTAAATTTGGGAAGGATTACTATTATAATGGGAAATTAAATTTGGGAAGGATTACTATTATAATGGGAAATTAAATTTGGGAAGGATCACTATTATAATGTGAAATTACATTTGGGAAGGATCACTATTATAATGTGAAATTACATTTGGGAAGGATCACTATTATAATGGGAAATTAAATTTGGGAAGGATCACTATTATAATGGGAAATTAAATTTGGGAAGGATCACATTAAACATTTGCTTTATGTGCAATAAATTTACAGGTACCACAGTGACAATATCCATGTCTTGAAGTGTATTTTATTCAAAAAAAATCAAAGTGGGAACATTTGATTGTGATCCAAGTAATTAGGGGACTCACCATAAAATAGTATATTTGATATTTTCATAGATTGTACACTTTGTATACCTTCCTTCCCCGCCCACAAATAATTTAAATTTATTGGATACTAACAATTTATTTAGGGATATAGATTTTACAAAGCCTTTAATAGGGTTATTGTGAAGTTTTCTATTTAAAATGTGATCCTAAAGCACAGGTTCTTGTCTTAGATGTGCCCCATGGCTCCTCCCCTGGACACCTGCCATTTTCTCAAACACTGCTCCATGCAATATGGCTGCTGTAGAATCTCTGTATGATACAGAAGCTCTAATCAGGGAGGTTCACAGAATTCCACTATATGAGGGGTAGTCAAACTTTGGCCCACCAGCTGTGGTGAAGCTACAAATCCCATCATGCATCTCTGTCAAAGTCATGCCTTTGGTTGTTAGAGTCTAGCAATGCTTTATGTATATATAAAATCTATATCATATCCATATATACAATGCACAAAAGTGAACACGGACAGATATGAACCCGGCCTGATGAAAACACAGTGCAGGTACACAGGAAAAAGGCAACATGCTGAGACACTATTTAAATGCTGTACACTTTGAGGATGAAATGCTCCAAAATGTCTGCAGGTAGAGAGGTCAGTGATGGCTTGTTTTAAAGCTAATTTGCCACTTGATAAAGCATGTAAATATTAAATGTCTGACCACAACTCTTTTTTTAAATTAGTTTTATTTGTGATTCTGCCCCAAACAACATGGGATGGATCGAAATCCAAAAATATTAATCTATCAATCAGGGTCAGTGACATGAGTGGGTTATTATTACAATAAGTGTCCAATTGTTTCAATGGAATCTTTGCAGCTTATCAGCAAGATGGGATGTCTCCCCAGAATGAGCGTGGGCAGAAAACAGAGATTCTAAACCATCATTAAAAAAAATAAAGTTTTTGGAGGGAAGATTTATATAGGGAGATTCAGAGATGGTGCAGGTTATCTACTGGTATGTAGTCATCCTTTACCCCACCTAACACTTCAGGTGTACAGCAGGCAGAGTTCTTCAGTTGGAGCTGTTATATCGCCCACACAAGGACCACTATAACGACGATAATGATCACAATGAAGAGCTAAAGGATGAGAATGAACCTGTCCAAGACAAAAGCCACCAGATTCCACTCAGATTTTGCCTCCTCCCCTTTTTTAGAGACAATAAGGTGTTTTCGAACCATAAGAAGTTCCAATAGCAATCTCTTGAGAAGTTTAATCTCTTTGCTGTCTTTTGCATTTTTTGAGAGATACTTGTTAGTTTCTGTCTCTGGTTCAGTAAGTGCGAGATCTCCATCCACTGCTAAAGAGAAAGGGGTCATATTAGGGTGGTATTGTATGTTGTATACACATCTGCCAATGCTTTTAGAATTATAGGAATTACATGGCATTCACAAATCAAGACATATTGGTGTTAATTGGCCACTCACAATAAATGATATGTATTTATGAAAACATACCTGCAAGGCATATAGTATTATTGCCACTTTAATTAGATAAAATACTATCTTGTATCAGACAAAATCTTGTATCAGTGGCAGCCCATGACGGGATAATCCCGTCATTAATGCTGAAGGAGTTAAACAGACGGGACTCTGTTCAGATTTGTAGAGCCGGCGGCCGGCTTTACAGTAGAAGGGATTCTGGCAGCTCAGCTGTCGCCAGATCACTTCTACGATCCGGTAAACGTGCCACCCCCCCCCCTTTCCTGCCTGAGCCCCCCGCCATGTTTCCCGTTCTCCGCTGCACCTCCTACGGGCCCGGGACTGGCATCTTGGGTGTCTATGGGAAGCTGGGGAGGAGATCGGTAAACATCCACTCACCGATCTCCTCCCCGTACTATGGGACCGGGAGCAATGCTTATTGCATCACTTTCGGTCCCATTGCTGTCATTGCTGGGCTCCTGAAGCCCGGCAATAAGCTATTGAAGTGCGATCTGCGAAAAAAGGTTGAGAAACTCCGCTTTAGTGCATTGAACATGTTCATTGCAATGGGAGTGCAATTCTGTCTGAAACGTGGAAGCAATCCTCAACCAGTACATCACAAACTCTCCATAAACATTGAGTAAAATATAATTAATTATTTTATTTGGGGAATAATGAAGAATATAAAATAGACACAATGTGAATAGTGTATTTTACACTACACACCGTTGATGGCTGCGTATGATAGAATATTTTGCGGAAACTATGTAGTGTTTTACATTAGATATACAATTAAGGTTGCCAACCTTGTCCTGGCAAAATAAGAAGCAGGATGGAGGGGATAGAGCTAATTATGGTAGCTCTAATTTTTATTTATATCTACATGACATGTTACTAACTTGAGCTTTTATGAGCCTCTTTCTAGGCTGCTTCTTTTCGAATACTGTAAGAAACGACCCAGCTGGATCGTATGACCTGACTTTAAAAGGCCATTTTTTTATCTTTCACACTTTTTTTTTAACTGCATGTCTTTTATTTGGTGTCTCGAATTCCACTTAATGTTTAAGGCAGCACTTGGCCATATGCAGGACCCAAACAGTGTTCCAGAGTGAGTGTCAAACCACTGTCATTTCAAGCATAACTACCTACACCAGACAAACCCCTTAGCTGCCAAGGCTCTCTGGCCGCCTTTGCCCTCAACAACACCTTCATCTTTTGAGTCTTTTATAAAGACTCAAAAGATGTTTAAACACACTCACTTTGTTTAAATACAAATTTAGGCTGCCTCCCTCCTAAAAATATGGGGCAAACTGCATCCCATATTGAATCAATAAGGGACAGAGCATTTAACTTTGAAATCTAGGATGGTCTCATATCAAATGTGATGGGGGCAACCCTAAATTCAATACACATGCTGGCCCACATTTCACAGTAAGCAAAATCTAAAAGGTGCACAATGGCCCCAAGCAACTCACCACATAACTAGATATGTATTTTCTCATCTTTCTAACTATCATTTATTGCTCCCACTACAGAAATCTGATCACTAGTACTGACCCAGGATAGATTGTGGGGCATTTTAGACATGTGACTGGCATTTTTATAAATCTACTTGAAAATAACCGTCACTTTAAAAAAAATAACTATCCAGATGTGTCAGCTTTGGGAACTGAGCCTATTGCCCGTTATTTAATTTGTGAGAATCTGTAATAGTCTTAAAAACTCCTCAGTTGTACTGCATAAAATTAAATCAGCATGCACTTTAGGGCATCATCATACAAAACTAAGTAGCCCATGTACACCTCATACAGATCCAAAAAAAACAAATGCCCTTACCTTTATTATTGTCTCCGACAACAGGGGAGTCAAAATCCTCCTTTATTTTAATTCTAAGGACATATGCCAGCCGTTTTAATACCCAAAGCTTTATAAGTTGTGGTACTTCCGGTTTCATTGTGGAAAGGTGCAACATGTATGATATGAAGATGGAGTCAATAATACTAATAATCATAATGAGCAGACAGACCATACAGAAAACACCTAAAGACAAAGACAAATATTTAGCATATATTTCCTAGTACTTTAGGCAATATTCAATAAAAAATTATTTTGCATGCAGATTTGATTTTGAAAATACAAAAAAACAGCTGGGATGTTGCAACAGATTGTCATTGATGAGTAAAGTTTGAGTTGGGGAGTTATACAATAGATCCTAAACTACTGGAAAAGTCTGATCAAATGCCTGTATAATATATTATAAATAGAGTGGATGTAACAAGTCTACACATCCCTGTAAAAATGAAATGTTTTTGAGATGGAAAAAATTCTGAAGTGATTTGAATTGGTCTGATTATTTTACACCTTTAATGTGACCTATAATCTGTACAATTCAATTATAAAGAAACTGAAATTGTTTAGTGGGGGAGGGGGGGGGGGCCCCAAAAAA